ACCAGTTTGGCTTAGTGGATAGAGCATCAGCCTGAGGACTGAAAGGTTCCAGGTTCGATTCCAGTCAAGGGCATGTACCTTGATTGAGGGCACATCCCCATTAGGGGGTGTGCAAGAGGCAGCTGATCGATGTTTCTCTCTCATCGATGTTTCTAACTATCTCTCTCCCTTTTTCTCTGTAAAAAATAAAATATATATTTTTTTAAAATATATTTTATTGATTTTGTACAGAGAGGAAGGGAGAGATAGTTAGAAACATCGATGAGAGAGAGTCAACGATCAGCTGCCTCTTGCACACCCCTACTGGGGATATGATAGTTAGAAACATTGATGAGAGAGAGTCATTGATCAGCTGCTTCTTGCACACCGCCTACTGGGGATATGCCCGCAACCAAGGTACATGCCCTTGACTGGAACCGAACCCGGGACCCTTCAGTCCCCAATTTGATGCTCTATCCATTGAGCCAAACCAGTCTCGGCAAAATATATATTTATTTTAAAAAGAACTGTAATCTCCTTCAACAAGAAAATGAACTAATACCTTGAAGATCATAATGGACAATCTTACATTGGAATGCTACATCACAATTAAAATGGCTACATGTAGCTCTGGCTGGTTTTTCTCAGTGGTTAGAGCATCGGCTCTGAACCAAAGGGTCTTGAGTTCAATTCCTGGTCAAGAGCACATACATCATTTGCAGGTTTGATCCCAGCCCTGAGGCACATGCAGGAGGCAACCATTGATGTGTCTCTCTCACATCAATGTTTCTCTCTATCCCTTTCCTTCTCCCTCTCCCCTCCTTCCTCTCTCTTTCCTTCTATTCTCTCTAAAAATCAATGGAAAAAAATATCCTTGGGTAAGGGTTAAAAAAAAAAAAAAACTACAGGTAACAACATGGGTAAATCTCAAAAACACATTGTTGACTAAAAGAAACAATTTTCAAAATATTACAGTATGATACAATTAATAATTTAGAATCGTGAAAAAAAAATGCTATACATCGTTTATAGATCTATGCATATGTAGTACAAGTGTAAAAACATGCTTTTGAAGGATAAATACCTAATGCAGGGAGATGGTTACCTTTGTTGAGTTGGGGCAGAAAGAAGAGAAAAGACTGGACTTGGATGGGTTTACAGGAAGTTTTAAGTGTATTTCTTTAAAAAAAAAAAAAAAAAAAGCTTAGAAGCAAGTTTAGTTATAAAATGTTAAGATTCAAAGAAGTGGGTAGTGAGTACCAAGATATTTATTTATTCTATTTGTCATTAGTTTAAATAAACCAAAAGTAAGATGAAGACAACTGATAAAAATCTGTTCTAGCTGAAACCAGTTTGGCTCAGTGGATAGAGCATCAGCCTACAGACTGAAAGGTCGCAGGTTCGATTCCAGTCAAGGGCATGTACTTTGGTTGCAGGCACATCCCAATTAGGGGGTGTGCAGGAGGCAGCTGATCTATGTTTCTCTCTATCTCTTCTCTCTCCCTTCCTCGCTGTAAAAAAAATCAATAATATATATATATATATATATATATATATATATATATATATATACATATATATATATATATAAAGAAAATCTGTTCTAGGTGCCCAAGCAGTCATGTAAACTATCCCTTTTCCCACCCAGCCTATCCCACTTACACACCTTCCTTCATCTCCTCCACCAGAGGTCCATTTGCTATAGAGTCTAGCTCAGTGGAAAGCAGTGCATAGGCACAGGGCTGATAATGGCATTAAGTGGAAGTCAGCTGAGACTCAAAACATTCTTCCCTGTGCACCCACCGAGCCAGCACGGCCATGCGTGAATCTGTGCTCAGCCTCACATTGGGCGCCATGTGTGCCACGCCAGCACAGCCAGGCTGGTGGGCTTGAGAGGGGGCGGTGAAGGATTAAAAAAAGACAGACAAGAGAAGAAAGCTAGGGCTGGGTGGGACACTGCCCTCTCTGATGAGAGACAGTGCTGTGGCCTGCAAGCCAAGTCTTTATTTTATAACCAGATTCCAGGAAGCAAAGTAAGGGTGTGGTCAAGATGTTTACAACATTCTTGTGAGTTTCAAATCTACTCAATTACATGCACCTGATCAAGCTTTGTTTCCCTACTGTACCTCCCACAGTCCATATCACTTAGCCACGTGGGACCACAGGTTTGGACCATAAGGTCAAGCTTACAACTATAGCCTTTGGCTATCATTGTGCTGGGACTTATACGTGGCTTTGCCAAGAGAGGATCGTGCCCTCTCATTAGTCCCATGCTTGAACCTGTCCAAATGCTGTAAGTCGCTCTCCACACCCCTGTTCTCATACACTCCGGGAATACTCACAGCCAAGCTTGTAAACCCTAGACACAACTGCATGATTCTCCTTTGGAGAAAAGATATCCCCATGTTGATATTTATGGGCCCCCAATGAAATCTGGCACATCATTGGTGCATCTTATAGTGAAGCCCAGCAATTCAGTGCTTCTCACAACCTAATGTGCCTGGTGATCTTGTTGAAATGCAGATTCCAAAGGCTGTAGTTTATAATGGGGCCTAAGATTCTGCGTTTCCGAAAAGTCCCAAGGAAGCCAATGCTGCTCGTCCCTTCTGTGTAACACTCACCCTCCACCCAATCGTTTTAGAGCCTCCTTGTCCTTAAATAGGAACAGACTGCTAACGTAGCCAGTCTTTAGAGGAGGCTAGTAACATAAGAGAGACCAAAACAAATTAACATAAAGATAGATCCAAGGAAACAGATCAAAACAGAAAGGAGAACTAAAAACATACCCTATATAATAAAAGGTTAATATGCAAATAGACCAAATGGAGGAACAACCAAACAACCGGTCACTAAGACATGCACTGACCAACAGGGGGCATGCCATGAACATGATGGTGAAGTAGGTTGGGCGGGGGTAGCACCAGACCAAGGCAAGGCACCGGTTGCTGTCATGGGGAGAGCCTCTGGTGGTTACTGAAAACTCTTTGCTCCCACACGCCCTGGTCCGGAGGGCACTCACACCCTCTGCCAGCCCCAATCGCTCAGCACCATCAGAGGATACCAGGGGCAGCTGCTGCCCCCCCCCATCATCCCTCAGGGCTTCTCCACCTCCCCCTGCTCCTGCTGCAGGCTCCAGCCCCAAGCATCAGTGGGTGGAGCAGGGCCAATACCATCAGCCAGTGGGAGCAGCAGCGGGGAGCTGGGCTGCAGCAGATAGAGACCGCGGTGCCAAGGCAGAAGGGACGGGGCGGTGGTGTGAAGGATGGGCTGAGACCCACCACTGTGCCCACCACAGCCTCACAGTCCACAGTAACTTTCAAGGTGCACAAATCCGTGCATTGGGCCCTTACTATATTATAATGTCCTCAAAGAGAAGATATTCCTATCCATAAAACAAGGATCAAATAATACGGGGAGGGGCCCGTTGGGGGGGGAAAGACATTGTAAATTAAATATGCGTTATTTTAAAACATTAATGTCAAGACGTTACCACATAATCTGGGAAGGACCTACAATGTCGTGAAGTTTATCCATGGCTGGTGAGTAAGGACATCTGTTTTAAAGGGCTCTGTGGGCCTTAAGGACAGGTGCTGGGGTGTGTGTGTGCGTGTGTGTGTGTGTGTGTGTGTGTGTGTGCTTTGTTTTTGTTGTTATTGTTCACTTTTTGGATCCTAATCCCTCCTTCTGCCCAAGAGCACTTAGCAGGAAATAAAACTCCCTGGAGGAGACTCACGGGCAGAAGGTGCGGATGAGGCACAAGGACGGGTTCAGATTCCGCGCACAGATGAGTAAGAAGGTATGCGTGGCACAGGTGCTGGAAGGCGAGGGACGAGGCAAAGATGACCCTGTCAGGAGCACCCGGAGGCAGCTCCCCGGGCTCAGACCGGCGGGCATGACAGGAACCCAGGGGCCCATCCCAGCTGCCTTCTCACCTCGAGGACTCCGCATTCCTTGTCTCCGTTGCTCTTTACACAGATTATGGTTATATGATGGAGAGTTTATTGTCTGTTTGCTCTACCAGACTGAGCTCCACTAGGGCAGCCCTTTGCCTTCTATTTTTTTAAAATATATTTTATTGATTTTTCACAGAGAGGAAGAGAGAGGGATAGAGAGTTAGAAACATCGATGAGAATCATCCATCAGCTGCCTCCTGCACACCCCCCACTGGGGATGTGCCCGCAACCAAGGTACATGCCCTTGACCGGAATCGAACCCGGGACCCTTCAGTCCGCAGGCCGACGCTCTATCCGCTGAGCCACACCGGCCGCGGCAGGCCCTTGCCTTCTCCACCGCTGCGCCCCCCGCACAGGGCGGGAGCCCCCTGAGCGGCGCTGGGGAAACGCGTGCCCCTGGGCGACCTGTGAGGCCTGGGCACGGAGCACGTGGACAGAGAACGGGCTGGGCGCCCAGCCGGCTGGGCGGTGACCCGGGCGAGCTACTTGCGGGTTCTGTGAAGGGACAAGGCCGGGGGATGGAGCGGGACCGCCGGACCGGCCAGCGGGAGGGCAGGGCGGGCAGTGAGGAGCCTCGGACCCGGGAGAGAGGAGCTCCCCGGGGCGGGGCGGACCTGCCGGAAGCGGGAGGCACTGCCCTCCGCCGCCCGCCCCGCGCGCCTGCGCACCTGCGCGCGCACGAGCGGTCCAAGCGGAAATGGCGCCGCGGGGCCGCGCATCCGGGCGGCGAGCGGAAGTGGGTGTGAGAGCGGAAGTGGCCGGCTGGAGCCGGGGCTGGGCGGGACCGGTCCTGTGGGTGAGGCGGCGGCGGCGGCGGCGGCGGCGGCGGCTCGGCGGCGGGTTCAGGCTTCGGGGGCCAGGTCGGTGCGGCGGGCGGCGGGCGGCGGGCGTCTCCACGGTCAGTGCGAGCCTCTCCCCTGCCCCGGCCCCGGCCCCTCTCCCCTTCCTCCCGAGCCGCCCACCCGCCCACACCCCCTCAGCGGCCGCGGCGCTCCCTCCGGCCGCCCTGCCCTCCGAGCCCATCCTCACCGGCCTCGCTCCCCCTCCCCTGCCCGGGCAGCCGCCGCCATGATCCTGCTGGAGGTGAACAACCGCATCATCGAGGAGACGCTCGCGCTCAAGTTCGAGAACGCGGCCGCCGGGTGAGCGCGCGCCCGGGGCGGAGGGGCGGGGGGCGGCGGCGGGAGCCAGAGCGTGACCCCGCTGACCCGGCGCCCGGCCCCGAGGCGCGGAGCGGGGAGACGGGAGACGGGCGGCGGGTGCGGGGCGGCCGGGCGGAGCGGGCATGGGAGGCGCCGGGCGCCGGGTGCGGGCGGAGGATGCGGAAGCGGAGGGCCCGGGGGCGCGGGCCGGGGCCGGGGCCGGGGCCGGGACCTGTGGGGCGTGCGGGCCCCGGCCGGAGCCTCCCTGGGGGGCCGCCGCCCCGGCAGCAGGCAGGGGCCCCCTCCTCCCCGCGGCCCCGGCATCGTCCGGAGGCGCCGAGGATCGGGCTGGAAGGAGTGGCCCGGGGTCCCGGAGCCGGAGCGGGAGGAGGTGCGGCCGGGGCTTTCCGCCCTCGCACCCCGCCCCGCCCCGCTCCTGTCCTCGGGAGCCGGAGGGGAGGCTGCGAGCAGACCCGGGCTCCAGTCTCGCTGCCGGAAAGTGACATCTGTCTGGTTCCCTTCCCCGAGCCCTGCTGAGAGAGACACGGCCTGTTTCTCAAGCAAAGCCATCGTCTCCCCATCCGCACCCTGTCCTTATCTCTCCCCGGAGGTTCTCATTCTGTTCCCACCCACCAGGCTTTATCTGGCTGTCTTTTCCTGCTCTTCTACCTGCTCCCCGGTCTGTGATTTCTTCGGGGCGCATTCCGGCCCAGGTGCACACTTTGAGAGCGTCCCGTGGAGAAAGGTCTTAGATCACCTTTTCTGCCATCGGCCTTTTTCAGCGTGGCCTTCGCACGAATTTCCGAGGAAGCAAGACTCAGTAGGAGACAGCCTCCTCCCCCAGAGCTGCCTGCTTTTGAAACACGAGGCGGGGGATTTTAGCCTCTGATTGCTGGTGCCCTGTGGTTAGTCCCTGTGCCCGTTTCCCCATTGGTGAGGATGGGCTTCGCATCTTGCTCGCACAGTTGAGGAAATAAGTGCAAACGGTTTCTGGTGAGCGAGGAAGTAGTCATTGGTGCTTGGAGATCCATAGATTGGGGAGGATTGGTGGAAGGGACATTGTAAGTAGTCACAGGAACCTGTGGCTTGGAGGCCTTGAAAGATACTTCTGATCCACTGTGTCTCCTATATGGTGTTTCCTATATCTTTTTCTTTATTGATTAAGGTATTACATATGTGTCCTTATCCTCATTGCCCCCCACACACACACCACCACCACCACCAATGTCTCATATCTTTTATAAGGCCACCGGTTTTGATCTGTAAGATCAAGTAATGCGTACAGTGAACGGCAGCTTTGCTTCCTGCCCTAGGCTGCAGTTGCTTATATGTTAGGCTAACTGGCTCCTTGTCTTAAGCCTCCTCTTACCAGTTCCTTCACGTTTTAAATGTTGAAGCGAATCAGCTCAGACTTATTTTGGGCAATTGCTCTCTGCTTTTAGAGCACTGCAGCGCACAAGAGGAAGTTCATTAACTTCTGCATTTTCACAGCTGATCCTGAGTGCATTCTCAAGTCCAGACGAGTAGAGAAATGAGACCTCGGTGGTTATAAGCTGTGCATTTTCAAGCAGGAGCATGCCTTGTGCCGTGGGAGTCTGTTCATAGCTATTTGTGTACTAATAACTTGTGGTTCCAAAATATAGCCCAGTATTCAGAACGTCAGCTCTATTCTTTTTAGAAAATTACTCTTAAAAGGACCAACTAATCATTTTAGAGGACTTGAAGTAGTCACTCACGTCTGGAAGGCATAGGTTATAACTTCTAGGGCATTTCTTACAAAGTATATGTTGCCGCAGTATTGGGGCAGGGCAGCAAGGTTTGGCTTTTATTCTGGCCCGTCTTCCCTTCGAGACGTGACTTTAAATAAGTGGGTTCAAACATTCTGCTGAAAAGCTCTTTGAAAATCTTTGAAAAGAGACCATGATATCCAGGTTAGGAAGTAGGACTTTCCTGGGATTGCACATGTAACACCCTACTGTGAATTTCCGGCATCCAGATAAGGTGAGGCAGCAGTGAAGTATTTATGAAGGCACAGGCCGAGGGTAAAACCTCCAGCAAAGGCTAACTAGTGCGATAAATCACAAACAGGTATGGGTCCCACCAGTGCTCAGCACCAGCAGGACGGAAAAAGGGGGCCTTTCTGAGAGCCCATTGGCCAAGTCAGCTGAGGGGTGAGATGTGTTGGGCTGAAGATCAGAGAAATAAATTAAGGAAAAGTAAGTAGCTCGGAGGAGAAACCCTGGAGTTTTGAAAGGCTCTGCCTGTGTGGGAACCTGCTGGAGAGGTCAGCTCCACCCTACTTTCCTCATCTCAGAGCATTTGGGGAGCTGTAGTTCAGATCCACCCTCTCCAGAGTGAATCTTGCAGCTCTGTGATAATCCTCTATAGCAGGCAGTAGTGGTGTGTGGCGAGTTAAGTTTAAATAAGAATTAAAGTGAAATAAAGCTAAGTTCCTCACACTAGTCACAGTTCTAGTGCTCGGTGTGCCCATGTGGCTAGAAGCTGTGGTATTTGAACAGCACAGATGTGTAACATCTCCATTCTCACAGACAGCAAGCACTCTAATGGACAGCAAGCACTCTTCCAGCTACTGAAAACGTAAGCATGCGATAGTCTTAAACAGTTCGTGGCATGTCATTCAGAACACTGGCAGGAACTTTCCTTTTGAAGTTGGTCTTTTTTTAAATGATGCATTTCACATCATCCTATTGGGTCTTCTTGCCTGTGACATCCTACTGAAAGGCTAAATTCCCTTTCGGTCAGTAGTCAGCCATCGGTTAAAGCAGTCCTGTCATCTAAACTGTTTAAGAATACATTTGGTCATGATAACATTTTAATTTGGAGGCAGTTCCTACAAAACCTAAGATTCATCCCAAACAAATTGCTTTTAATTTTTCCCTACCACACTCCTGGGAGAATGGCTTATTGGAATGATTCATATATCCTCACAAATGATGATTATTGGTAAGTTGTCTTCCCAATAGCCTACAAACTAAGAGAAAGTGACTGATTAAAAAGCTATACTGCAAATAGCCTCATGTGCAGGTCTTGTCACCAGCATTAGGAATTCTTACCCAGACCCCCCAATTGAAACAGAAGTAATCTGTCAAGTTAATTAAATTCTCTTGCTACTCTGTACATACCAAGAACTCTTTCAGCCTCAAAAGCTAGGCTGTCAATTTAGCTAGAGTCTGGAGTCCAAGATTGAGAAAATGCTGTCAGATGCAAATTGCTGTTGATTTTAAGAGCATTCTGGCTCCTTGCCACAGCTGTGCATATTATGGGCGCTCTGGCTCTGAGGGGGAGTGAATCTCAGTAAGCAAGCATTGCCAGTTGGTGTGGGTGAGGACTGTGGGAAGAGATACTTGAAAAGAAAGGGGTAAATTAAGTCTTGCCGATACCTTGTTCTCATTCCCAGCTCTACTGCACATGTCCTCAGAGATGAACTGGTTTGAAGTGACTTGGAATTAGGACATTGCAGTGGCTGATTTGCTGGAAAGATCTGGCTGGTCTTTTTGGAGGTCATTAGTTACTCACTGTCGCCTGTCCTCTGGCCTCCTTGGGACTGCTCTGGGCATGAAGCCCCAGAGCTACACTCCACCAACTGATGACTCCTTCAGGGCAGGTCTGTCTTTTTAATCGCCTTTCCCCACCCCCACTGGGCTTCCTCACATACATATTGTCCATTTGGCAAGTTTTCTTGAAGTAGATAAAGCCAGCTAGCACAGTTCTTACTTTCTTCAGGAGCTTACTGCTTTTCTGACATTATGTGAATTGGCTTTTAGATCCTCTTCTCCATATTTTGTGATATGGCTTTAGCGGAGAGTAGAAACACCTCTTTGTAGGCTTTACTCAAAAAACATGATGGGAGCCTTATAGAGGGCTTAAAGGAGAATGGTTAAAAATCTTTATAGTAAGATAGTGAACAGAATTGAGTAAATCCTTTAATTCAACTCATGGAAAGGGATAACTAGAAGAGAGACTTAAGTGCCCAAAGGGAATTGGATATATTTGGGAGTAAAAAACTCCAAAATCCTTTATGAAAAAAGAGGATTGGGTAATACAGTTGCCAGGTTGTTGTATTTTTATTGACTGATTAGGGCCATTCTAGAAGCTTTCTTAGAAAAACAATAGAAGACTTTTTTTTTTCCCTAAAGAATTTTAAGGAGAGTTCTTGAAATCCAACTGAATAAACATACTATGTTTTAGGGTCTTGTGCTGTCTAGTCAGTAACCCTGAGGACTTCTTCAGCTGGCTTGTACTGCTGACCCATTGCTGATTCTTGGAATTACCACAATTCCAACACCTTTCCCACTTGTGGGTTCAAAGTCTGGTCTCTGACATCACCTAGAAGAAAAAGTAGTTTATTGGTCATCTTCTGTGAACCCGGCCCTTTGCCACAAGTTGTAATATGGCTTCATTTGACTTCCAATGTGCACTTTTGACAGCAGTTCCCATTTACAGTAGAAACTGCTCTTCAGAGTTAAGGGGTGTAGACATATATTCTAAGCATTGTGCACCCAGCAGTGGTGATTCCTGACCTTATTTATGGTATGTCACACATAGATTGGTACACTTGGGTAAATGACCTAGTCGCAAGACCCTGCCACTGGACTGCCCTAAGGGCTCTGAGGATCATTATCAGCAGAACTATAACTTAGTCATAAGACACTGATTACAAAACTTTGCTGTGCCATATCATCTCAGTTAGCCAGCACAACAGCCTTTGAGGTGAGTGTTTGAATCTCCATTTTCTAGAAAAGGAACTTGAGACTCCCGATATTGGAGTAACATTGCCTATGCGTACAAAGCCAGTAGGTGATAGAACTTGCATTGAACCGTCAGCTCTGAGGAACTTAGACTCACCCTCACTACATGAAACTTTAGTAAATGGTAGGACCGGAAATAACCATTTATCTATTTTGCCTGTTAAGGTTAAGTGGACCAGGATGCAGACCAGTCTTACACCCTCTGCTCCGTGACATTTTTAAGCCACAGGAGTAAGCAACAAACACCTGGTCTTGGGATTCAGACAGCTCTTAATTAATCATGGGGTGTTTCACACTCGGTCCAGTCTCCTTGTTGGCATGTTCTCGGACCTCTCTAAGTCCCAGGTGACTTCTCTGGCAGACTCCTTTGGCCTAGTGCTCTCTCTGCAGCCTCTCTCTTCTCTGCAGCCTTTTGTGCAGCCATAAATAGTAAAATATAAAATATTAATGGCAGTGATTTGACAAATATTCTCAAGTCAGGCAGAAACCACTTAGAACAGATCTTAGTGACTTCTCTCCTAGGTATCTATGCTCAGGGAACTCTACGGACTAGAGAAATGTAAAATTTCAGAATCAAAACGTTTCTTTGGAATCTAAGGTGATTTATTTCTAGTTGATTCTTCTCAGTCTGTTTTTGAAGTGGGAGAATGAGGAATTCAGTCCTTTATTGGCTGAGTTAAAGCTTAAAGGTTTAAAAAAAAAAAAGAAATAAAGAAAAAGAAAGAAAACCACCACCATTTACTACATGATGCAATGCCAACTTTTATAAACCCTCCGCCCTTTCTGGCCCAGCCAGCCTTCTCTAGGAAAATATGCTTCAGTGCTTCCTCCTGTTTGAGCAGCCTCTTAACATCTCACTCAAATGGACCACAAATTAAAATGCACTTCTTTCTTCTTTGCTCTTCTTTCCTAGCGATAAGGAATGGTTGTTGACCATTCCTTGCCTTTGTTCTATGCTCCAGTTTCAAATGAAAGATCAGAAGCAATTTAAATGTTCATCTCATTCTTTTCATCATATTCTGAATTCATTGCTTTTTCATAACCCAAACCCATCTGATGCTTCTGTTCTTAGAGATACCAACATGTTTTTCCTATGTGGATGGCTTTGATTTTTCTATATACTCAATAGAAGCCATTTTCTTGAAAGGTATTGTTGAGCCTCTGCAGCAGCTCTTTTAAATAGTCGAGTCATAAACCACATTATATATTCCGTTATTTCCCAGCAACCCTGAAGGGCAACTCAGTCTTGGTTCCTTTTACAGGTAAGGGAGCATGAAATCCTGAGCAAGTTAGGCAAGAATAAATGTGGAAATGTGTCTATCTTATCTCCTGGCCCATAAAACAAAGTAGAATCATTTGTGTTAGTGGTAGCCAGCTGGTAAACAGTTTTCATTTGTTTCCTTCCATCAGGCTTTGAGAAGTGGGGAGAGCATATAAAGTAGCTTTTCACTGGGGTTGATTGACTATTATTGTTTATAGCTAGGATGTATGTCATGTTTTCTAGGTAATAGTTCAATAGCATTTATCAAATAAAAGTCCATGAACCAGGCTAAGTTGGTAAATGCACAGAAAGTATTAGGCTGTCTGCCTTCCGTGATAGGTTCTTTTGTGTCTGTTCTCTTGTTTTATCATTAGCAGTTCTATAGGGTAGGTAGGATCACTTGTGTTCTTCCCTTTTATAAATGGGTAGATCAGATGTATGGATAATAATCTGTCTGAAAATATGGATGTTGAAAAAGCTACAGTTGGAAAACAAGTGTCTTGACTGTTCTCAGTGGCTTCACACTGTTGTTTTGTGCTACCCTTTGTATGGAAGTAGAGCACTGCAATTACAAAACAAAACTGGGGTAGAACCAGTCAGAGGTGGCTGAGGGGAGGAGAGCGTGAGTGCTTTGGTGATACAAAGGGAGAAGGAAAGATGTGTAGGAAGACAATATTATTGGCTATGAAATGGAATAGAACTTCCTGTTTGGTTACTTTAAATAAATTAAAAGCATCCTATATTCTATTTAGCAGTTTTCCTGCTGAATGTACTACCTCCATCACTACTGTCCTGCGGGGAGGCATTGACCAAAAGATGGCATCTTCTGGTTCATAAATACAAACATGTATGTCGAGATCTTAAGGAATTCAGAGCTGAACTACAACAGCTCTGAGTACCAACCACAACAGAGATTCCATTAGCTGGGAAACAAAAGCTACATCTGTCCTGCTTCCTTTTTTTATCCTCCACCTTAAGTAAATCCAAAGGTTCAGGTGCATGAAAAAATGAATTGTGTGCTCAGATTAGCAATAAGCATAAGATTGAATCAGAGTGGTCTGGTCTTAAATTAAGCTCAGAAGCCTTTGCAAGGCCCCTTGAAGGCAAGCAGCAATACAGTTATCTTAACTAAAGAACTTTTGTTTTGCAGAAACAAACCAGAAGCAGTAGAAGTCACATTTGCAGGTAAGAGTCTTTATCTCAATTCTGTAAAGAGAAGACACAATTAAAAAATAGAAAACAAATTAGTTCCTAAAACAAGCCTTGACACTTGGAGTACCATCCCTTATTTTTATTTATTTCAGAGAGGGAGGGAAAAGGAGAGAGGGAGATAGTAACATCAGAGAGGGAGATAGTAAAATCATTCATCGGCTGCCTCTTGCATACCCCCTACTGGGGATTAAGCCCTGATCAGGAATCGAACTGTGACCTCCTGCTTCATAGGTTGACACTCAACCATTGAGCCACACCAGCCAGGCTATAGATAAAATTCATATTTTATTAATTTATGAATTATATAAAGTTACCTGCTGATGTGTTAGAAGTTTGGGTTTAATTTTGTGGTACAAAATAAGGTTTTATAATTTTGCTTAATTAAGATGTTATCTTCAAATAGCCATCATCTCAGTTTGCCTAGTACTAGAGTAGTGGGGAAACACAAAAATGCAGAGACCTATTCAAAAAGTTAGAGAGAGATGTTATGTTTTCTATTCCCTGCAAAAAATTAAGCGATAATACTACTCTCTTGCTCTGTGAACTCTGAGTTATATAGCCACCCTCTATAAAATGAGGATACTTGACTAGTGATCTTGGAAGCTGAAGTCCGAAGTGCTGTGACTTTGGCGGTAGACACCGTCCACCTGTCCTCCTAGCTAGGAATGCTAGATCTCCCTAAAGAGATGGCAGTCATCACCTAGTTTCAGGAACTACCTATGTAGGGCACCTTCTCTGTACTACAGGAAGGTAGAAGCCAAAGAGAAAGGAAGCCTGTAGATTAGAAGAAACGCAAGGGATAACCAAATGCAATGTGTGGGCCTTGTTTGGATCTGAATTAAAATAAGAAAACAGTATTGAAAACTTTTTGAGACAGCATTTGAACATTTGACTAGATATTTGACATTAAGAAATTATTTTAAAATCTTAAGCATGGTAGTGGTATTGTGGATATGGTTTTTTTAAGTCTTCCATTTTCTAGAAATACATTAAAAAATATTTATGGTGTGATGTCTGGGATTTGGGTTAGAATCAAATCCAGTAGGGGAGGGATGTCTAAATAAAACAATATTGACCATGTGTTGATAATTGTTGAAGTCATATAATGGGAATAGGGGTTCGTTATACTGTTCTATACTTGTTTAAAGTACATCACAGTAGAAGTTTTATTAAAAAATTTTCCAACACCAAGCTATGATTAAGATAAGGATAGCTTTATAATTTTAGAAAAGAGCAAAGAAATAGGTACTTAACAGTTCTATCCCAGTGTTTCTGCTGACTGCCCACGTGGATTTAAAATAAATGTCATTTTACTTATATGCCTTCTAAAAAGAGGGACTTTCTTATGGCCTGCACAGATAGGTAGTTTGAGACATTATTCCTCATTTCCAAGTTAAGCAATCTTATTTACTTTACTTACAGATTTTGATGGGGTCCTCTATCATATTTCAAATCCTAATGGAGACAAAACAAAAGTGATGGTCAGTATTTCTTTGAAATTCTACAAGGAACTTCAGGCACATGGTGCTGATGAGGTAAGTTCCACATCATTTTCCTTGAGACTCTTGTTTTCTCCTCACTTTTTGTTGACAATTTGCCATCCAGAGAAAAGATCCATGGCACCGAATTTCCCCTGTTGGCACTGGCCACTCTGGATAGCTTGCTCACCTAACAGGGTTTTGGTTTTTTTGTTTGCTTTTTCCTCTAGAGAAATAAGGATATTCCCTAAACATTGAAAACAAAAACAGCTTTAGTTTTAAAAAAAAAAATACAGCAAAGAATACTCTTCATTGACTGATACAAAAATGGCTATCTTGAGAATGAGATGGGTTCCTTTCTATTTCTATAACAGTGTCAAGCTGGTGTATTAATTGTGGCCTGTTTAAAATTTATGATCATAATTTTTCATTCTGAAAATTTAGGCACAAATCTTCCCTTAAAATTTTTAAATTTAATTTAAAAATTTAAATTAAATTTTCCTTGAAAATTTTTAAATTTATTCTTTAGAGCTGGCCTCTTAAAGTACCTCTTCCTCTCTATGACTGCTTTAGAGGAAATATGAAAAGATGTCCATACATTGTGAAACTCTCAGTGGCCATGCCTTATTCACTGGTTTCTTTCAGTAGTTAAAGTAGCAGGTTTGGTTCCTGTTGAACTATATTTGCTCTGAGGAGAGCCATTTATGGAAGAAAGAAGCTGCTGTTACACCAGTGTGCGCACATTGTGGTTGGGTCTCAAAGCAGGAAGTATGACTCAGTTCCTGAATCAGTTTTCAAATATCTTTTAGTTTTAACAAGCTAGGCTCTCCTTAACCTGGTGAATGAAGATACAGCCATTTCTATTTTCTTTCTGATTAAGAGTAGTAGCTTTTGATTATTTAAAATTTATATAATGAAAAGACTATTTGCAAAGGAATATGATAGAAATCTCGATTCTTTGGTTTAAAAATTAAAATTGTATGTTAACCAAACAACGCCAAGAGCCATAAGCAGTCACTTACCTTAGTTATTCATATGCAGTTGATTTCCCCCGTAAATTCAAGGGAAGAGTCAAAACCTTTTCTGATTTGCCTCTTATGTTCTAAAGAAGAATAAATGTTTAGAGAGTTTGTATTCATAGTTATTTTACCTGGGAAAGAAAAGGTTCAGGAAGAAGATGTAGTGATATAAAGAATTATATTAAATATAGTAGCTGATTCTTCTCTTTACCAGATAGACAGCAAGAAGAAACAAGTGGCTATTAAAGTGGCCCTCCTTAGATTAACTGTAAAATAGCGACCTGAAAATAATTGTTAAACAGTTGAATAGCCAACCAAATTGTGTAATGATTTTCCCTAGGCAGCCCTCTCTCTGTAAAGATTGAGGTGCAGTAATAATCTTTAGAAAGGAAAGAAGTGTCAATTAAGCTAGATTTCTTAAATCTCTCTCTCCAGCCTACGCTTTCCTTCCAACAGAATGCCAGAACACATTGCTATTCTTAGAGCCACCACAAGGGTCAAAGGACCAACCGCACCCACTCCGGTGGGTGGAATGAGTAACATTCACAGTGTGGAGCAGAGGCACAGTAAATGCTCCAGGGTTGGTTAAACAGTAACCAGCGTGCGATAACCGATAACCGCAGGAAGCTTGTTACTTTGTCACAGGCTCCTTTTCGAGGCACAAAGCCTCTGCCGCTATGGTGGGAAGGTTTGATGGGGATCATTGATAGGTTACCCGTACCATCTCCTGGTGTTAGGTTGGAAGAGTGGGCACAAATTGAAAAGTGAATCATAGTTAAAAGTGCAAGTGAAGTAAACCAGGTACATTGGCTAGTTTGATCAAGGGGAGTGAACAGAGGGGTTGAATGTGATATAAATTTGGCTCTAAAAACCTTTTAGATCTTAGAATTTAGTAAGCCTGGAATTAAACCTAATCTTAGGGGCTGTGGTTTCTCCCAAATCTGATTTCCCCTTCCTCCAAATACTAATAGTGCACACAGTACAGAAGTGTAGCTCAGGGGCATTGGGCTAATTAAGATCCTTACAGGATGTGCATGTTACTTTTCCCCAAAAAATTCTTTAGAAGAAGTGGTTTATAAGACACCTGAAGATCATGACCTTGAACCTTTCCCTTTAGTTCCTCTTCTGTGAAAGATATCTCACAGTGTCTATATGGTCACCAAATGGGAACTATATGTGGCATTCTTTATCTTTTGCCTTTTTACAAACTGATATGATCCCTGGCTCATGCTTTGAGGTCCACCCTATTAACCAAGCTTTGCAGTTTGAGAATTTCTTCCAGCTAAAGGAAAATGGTTAAATGATATGTGGAATATTAATGAATACTAAGAACGGGAGTACAAAGAACCTCACAATGCAATAATTTTCTCAAATGGGGCATAAAATACATAGTCTGCTGCTTTTTAAAAAAATATCCAGAGAGCACATTGAAAATAAGATTAGAAGGAAACATTGGTATTCACTCACATCTGTTTATTGCTTGTCCTGATATGCGGGTATATGTAACTGACCACAGCAGTGAACAGCACAGAGTGCCTGCCCCTATGGAGCTCCACTCTGCTGCTGCCTGTGTCTGCAGTGCTTTTCTCTGGCTAATGCACTTCTTTAAAACATGCGGGTATGACTTCTATAATTAAAACAGAAGTTTGTGCTTTATTGATTTTAGAGAGGAAGACGGAAGGAGAGAGAGATAGAAACATCAGTGATGAGAGAGAATTGTTAATCGGCTGCCTCCTGCACACCCCACACTGGGGATCCAGCCTGCAACCTGGGCATGTGCCCTGACCTGAAATTGAATCATGACCTCCTGGTTCATAAGTCAACACTCAATCACTGAGTCACGCCAGCTGGACAAATAACTATCTTCTTAGTGCTTAATGTGTCCCATGTGACATTAAGTCAGAACTGTTCCTTCCAACATAAAAAGTTTGTTTCTTAACCCATGGCAGCTTAAGAGTAATTTCCACCAGGTGAAGCAGTCACATTAGCACAGGAAAAATAGGGAGATGTGAAAAGGTTTTATCATTTACTTCAAAAACCTGGAAAGTAGCTAGCAGTAAGTATTGGTTTGGGGGAAACGCCTTTAGAGAATACAATCTTCTGTGGACCCACCAGTTTAAATAACTGGCTAAGATTCACCATTGTCTTACCTTTAAAAAGCTGGTGATGAGCTAAATAATTTTAAAGCATGCAATGTGAGCAGACTAATTGGAATCAGTTCCCAACAATTGTGATTTTATCTCCTCATTCACCTGGGTTAATGGTTTGGCCATCCTTCCTTACCTGATAACTAACATTATCTATACTCACTTGGCATGCATCCTCTGCTCATTGAAAAAAATATGTTTATGTGCAGTGTGTGATCTGGAGGTTGTGACCAAGTCCTAACAGAATAAAAGTTGAGCCTTGATTGAAAAGGCTAACCTTTTGGATTAATTTCAGTTCTGTGAGTGACTTGCTTGGTATCTCAGATAAATCTGCTTTCCTCTATCCTGTACCATAGAAATGAAAAATGCTGGCTTAGGAGAAGCTTGGCAAACACGTGCTTTAAAAGTAATGGAAATATCATGACCTTTGGATTAACATATTTGTTTTGTATTTTCTAGTTACTAAAGAGAGTGTATGGGAGCTTCTTGGTAAATCCAGAATCAGGTACGTGGTAATATATATTCGGAGAGACACGGAAAGAGACCTGCCCTGTTTGTACTATGCTTTTTTTTAGCCAGCAGATTTTGTTTTTTATCTTGCAAATATTTCTGTATGACCCCAGTTCATACTTCAAGTCTCCATAAAAATAGCTTTTAAGGGGCTTTGTACTGTTCAATAATGGTACACAATGTGGTGAAAAGTATTGGTGTATGTTTTTTCACATTTACTTTAAGGGTCTAATTGACCCTTTCTTATTAATCTTTTAACAGAGAGCCACCTTTGTGGTGATTAAGATGCTTTTTGAGCCAAAACCGATTTGGCTCAGTGGATAGGGCGTTGGCCTGAGGACTGAAAGGTCCCAGGTTCGATTCCAGTCAAGGGCATATACCTTGGTTGCGGGCACATCCCCAGAAGGGGGTGTGCAAGAGTCAGCTGATCGATGATTCTCTCTCATTGATGTTTCTAACTCTCTATTCCTCTCCCTTCTTCTCTGTAAAAAAAATAATTAGAAACATTAGAAAAAATCAGTAGAGAGTTAGAATCATTAATCAGCTGCCTCTTACACACCGACTGGGCCTGCAACCAAGTACATGCTCTTGACTGGAATCGAATCTGCGACCCTTTAGTCTACAGGCTGATGTTCTATCCACTGACTCAAACCAGTCAGGGCCTCAGTATGTTGTGTTTTTTGTTTTTTTTGTTTTAATCACATCGGAAGTCTTTTTTTTTTTTTTTTAATATATTTTATTGATTTTTTTACAGAGAGGAAGGGAGAGAGATAGCTAGAAACGTCGATGAAAGAGAAACAGTGACCAGCTGCCTCTTGCACACCCCCTATCAGGGATATGCCCGCAACCGATGTACACGCCCCTGACCAGAATCGAACCTGGGACCTTTCAGTCCGCAGACCGACGCTCTACCACTGAGCCAAACCGGCTTCGGCTCACATTAGAAGTCTTATTTAAGTCTGACTTCAGCAATTGTTGTATTTGGCTTCTTAAAGCTAGCAAACCTCAACTTTAATTTTTTTTTTTTTTTTAATCTAATCTTGTAGTCTTTTGCTTACTGGTTTTTGGGTCCCTAAAATGGAATAATGCTTGATATTATTTAATATTGGAGGGCCAAAAATGTGCTAAGCACTATCTAGAGCCGAGATTTACATAGCTCATGCTCTCAATGGGGATAGACTCAACAAAAAACACAGACCTGAGGAATGTTCTTGGGAAAAAATTAAATGTTCAAGATGTTCAGCAATATGAAATCCTTTGTAGTTCTGGTAAAAGTATTTCCATTAGCCAAAACCGTTTTGGCTCTGCGGACTGAAAAGTCCCAGGTTCGATTCCGGTCAAGGGCATGTACGTTGGTTGCAGGCACATCCCCTTTAGGAGGTGTGCAAGAGGCAGCTGGTCAATGTTTCTCTTCGACATTTCTAGCTCTCTATCTCTCTCCCTTCCTCTCTGTAAAAAATCAATAAAATATATATTTTTTTAAAAAAGTATTCCCATCAGTTGCCTAGAATATGTAATGATCCACCATGATGCACAGATATATGTTATCTATAGGCATTTGGACACATAATAATCATTTCACTATATAGTCAAGCATGCCAGCCTTGTGTGCTGGCATTTGTCCTCAGTATGCTGTAAGGAGCCAGGGTAGCGCAGTGGTCAGCAGCCTTGGATTTCAGTTCTGTTCTGCCTCGTTTATCAATGATTCACTATGTTCCAGACGCTTTAAATATTGTACTGCATTTTTCTTTTAAGTCTCCTCCATCTCACCACCCCTTTTTTTTAACAAATGCAAGAATTGGAAATGTTAGGCAATCTATCTCAGGTCACAAAAGTGGCCAGGCCAGGATTTGTCTCCAGTTCTGTTTAGCTCCAAATGGAGTTGCCTTTACCTCTCTGTCACGATGCGTTTGTCATGGCGCTGTGCCTGTTTGAAGCACTTTTTCCTTCTGGAATGAGAATAAACATCTGACCTGCCTGTTTCAAAGTATTCCTATGGAGACCAAATGAAGTAAAATATTTTAAGACATTTTGAAAAATTTAGTGTATACAAATAAAAGCTACTGGAGATTTTTTTCCCCTAGATTTTTCCATATCCTGGCTCCTTCCACAATGACTTGCAGTGGTACATAAGGAGGTATATTTTATTATCAGAAAGATACCCAGTGCCCACCCTGCCAGTGTGACACAGTAGTTGAGCATAGCATGAACCTAGAAGTGTCTCTCTATACTTCTCCTATCCTCTCTCTCTAAACTTAATAAAAGCATATTTAAAAAAAAAAGAAAGAAAAGAAAAGATGCCCAGTTTGTTGGCACCTGGCACATTGAATCTCCAAGAAAATTTTTACTCAATCCCCTTCACAACTGTGCATATAACACTAAATTTCTAATCAAAGTTACCAGAGTATGTTGTCTTCCCATTTATTTGTAATCAGTCATCTTCAATACTGATTCAAATTTTTGCATATCATTTGTTAATTAGCTGTTTATATACAGTGATGTTACAAGAATTGAGGTTTTGCAGGGACCGCTTTGGCTCAGTGGATAGAGCGTCGGCCTGCGGACTGAAAGGTCCCGGGTTCGATTCCGGGCAAGGGCATGTACCTTGGTTGCGAGCACATCTCCAGTGGGGCGTGTGCAAGAGGCAGCTGATCGATGATTCTCTCTCATCGATGTTTCTAACTCTCTATCCCTCTCTCTTCCTCTCTGTGAAAAATCAATAAAATATATTTTTAAAAAAATACAAAACAAGAATTGAGGTTTTATTTCACCTCATTTGTCCTATGAGGCTGGTGGGAATGGATAGCATTCTACTGGGGTTAAAAGTATGAGCATTGAGACAAAATAAAATGTCATAAGAAGTTGGAAAGTTTTTGTCTTTTTTAATAATATCATACTGGTGTTTTTTCCCCTCTAGGATACAATGTCTCTTTGCTATACGACCTTGAAAATCTGCCTGCATCCAAGGATTCCATTGTGCATCAGGCTGGCATGTTGAAACGAAATTGTTTTGCCTCTGTCTTTGAGAAATACTTCCAGTTCCAAGAAGAGGGCAAGGAAGGCGAGAACAGGGCAGTTATCCATTATAGGGATGATGAGACCATGTGAGTATAGAATGTGGTCCTGAAGCCAGCCTGTGGCTGTCGCACACACTTATCAAAAGACATACAGCTAGGTCAGACCTTAGCCTCTGTTGTATGAACCCTCCTCCCCCAAAGTGTCTTTCTCATAAATTCTTTAAGCCAGGATGTATGATTTGGGGTCAAAAGGGAGGCTACTTCCCTAGTCTCCAGTATTGAACATTGGCAAAAGATAAAGAGAGAATCCAATACTTTCCTGTAAGGTGCCACTGTTCTGAGTCCCTGCAGTAATGTAGTTGGATGGATAATCAGGAGGTAGAGGGTGCCCATAGGTTCTGTGTTATTGCAGCTCTTGGATCATCTATATGCTGTGAGTTTCATTGTATACAAAGAAATAACACTTTTAAAGTGGTGTTCAGATAATTACTATCTCGAGATTCCAGTTCATGCCATATAGGCAAAGGTAATAACATCTACTTCAGTGATTTTCCTCTCCTGCCCCTCTCAGGCCTTGCATTTATCATATGGACTTTGTTGGCCATAGCTACTTAGTCTCACTGGGCACACCTTGTTTCATGAATTAAGAAGTTTATGATTTACCCTTCTAATTTACTTGTAGATCAAGTTCTTAACAAAACCCCATACTGATTCTGTACTTACTCCTGGGTTTTGTTCCCCTCAGGTATGTTGAATCTAAAAAGGACAGAGTCACGGTAGTCTTCAGCACAGTGTTTAAGGATGACGACGATGTGGTCATTGGAAAGGTGTTCATGCAGGTACGGAGCAGACTTCTTGGGGCAAAACCATAGCATGGTGGTTTATAGCCTGGCACCAAAACCCACCACAGGCACAGAAAAGGGTCAGTTCTGTGGATGTTGGACCTTGTTGAAGATTTAATTCAACAGCCCCACCACTGAATGTTTCTTAGTGGCTTTAGCCTTGCTAGGACTGGATTGAAGGGTGATTTGAATGTTAAATATACTAACAATATGATTAAAATATTAAGCATCCTTCCTGCCCCTGTGGGGGTCTTTGATTTAAAGCTTGGTCACACTTCCTATCCTCTTGTATTCATCAGATTTCTGGCAAGGTCTATTGACTTTTGTCACTAGGTTTCTGAGTCTGATATCTGCTAACCAGTTGCTGGCTCTGGGACATGAGAGCTCATGATGAAGCGGTATTCAGGCTGAAATGGCTTGGCATTCAAAATCTAATGTAGTGGTTAAATTTTCAAAAAACTTTGTTCTGTTCCTTGGCAGGGTGATGAGATTTAAGAATTCTGGGACAGTTTTTTGGTTTTTTTTGCCAAGTAGAGTTGAAAGATAGTTGTGCTTAATATAGTGAGGATACTTGATTACAACGTGGCTAGGAAATCTTCAAAAGTGATCTCAATTTGATCCATCTGTCATGGCTTTTCGTGTTTAGACTAATGAATCAGAAACTCTAATTTTGGAGTCCCTATGCAGAAGAATTGGAATATTAATGCTTCTAGCCTTTGAGAGTAATAAGCTTTATATGTATGAGAGAGAGAGAGTGAATGTGTGTGCGTGTATACATATATATCTTGGGTCTAAAATGTAAGCCTCCAGATAGGAGTTTCATATATTTTTGTGCAGAATTGATGGTAATTAAATGCAGTAGCTTAGAAATTGGGGTAAATCCAGACCAGCGAACTAATTTTAAAAGCTATGAAGTATATATTTAGATTTGGCTGGTTTTTACCAATCTTGTTCCATTTTATTCCAGGCTACGTCTTAGCTTCTTTTTATACTCTAAACAGACCTTATCTTGGAGAGTGTATGGAGATTTGTTCCCTAGGAGAAGGTTGTGTATTCTTTTTTGTGTATGAATGTACATTCCTTCCTCACAGTACATATGGTAGAGGACTTGTCTAAAAGGGAAAACAGAGTCTCTGCATTTTTGCACTGACAGCATCTCCAGTGAGTGACTGGCCTGGCACCGTGCAGGCTCATCTGGTGTCTGGGAATGTGGAATGGCTGTGCTCCGGAAGCCATCTGCCCGCTCCCTCTCCAAACTTAAAGTCTGGGGTCACTTATTTGAAATGACCATAGAAACCTAGACTGACTTTGCTAGTTCCCCCCCTCCCCCAAATAAATAATCTTCGCATTTTCTTGTGCCTAGTTATTTTAAACTTCTAGGAGAAAGAACAACAGATGCCTGGCACAGAATGTTGTGACCTGAGACACTGTTTGAAGTCCCTGTGGTCACTAGTCTGCTTCCTGTGGGCCTTTTGGGTTTTCCCATGCCAACATGCACTTCTAGCCTGGTCAGAACACAATTCCTGCTTTTGTCCTTTGGCAGACACACTCTGAGGGATGCTTACTGCCTGTAGAAAAAAGACAGGGAGTTTCCAGTTCCCATACACACACATGGTCTAGGGCCTGGATTTGGTGCATTATCTTTGTAGGCCTGTAAGCTGATGTATGCCCACAAAGAGAAAGGCTGGTAGGTGTCATCATTTCAATGCTTATTTTGTGAGAAGCTATTAAAAACAACTCTTTTGGAGATTGGAGTATGGTAAATTAGAATTTTTCCATATTATGTAGATCTTAAAGTCAGTAACTAAGAAAAGTTAAATGGAAACCACTGGGTTCCCTATATTGAGGGACAAGACACAAACCATCTGTTTCTTTAGATATTTGTGAAGATGTTATTTTGAGGACCCTTGCTATCTGTATATATGCGTGATTATATATATAATCTACTAGAGGCCCAGTGCACGAAATTCGTGCACAGATGCAGTCCAAAGGCCTGGCTGGCGATCGAAGCACAAGCATCTGGTGTGGATGGGCAGGTCCCAGCTGATCTCTGGGCCCCCGAGCGCACCTTCTGCCTGAGTAATTGGACCCCTGCCCGGCTCCCTCAGTGCCTGGGAGCTCCACCATCCCACCATGGTCCCACTCTCAACAGGGCCTGTTGGGGCCAACAGTGCCTCCATTGCCAGCACCATATCGCTGACGCCCTCCATGTTCTGTGCCACCCCCGGTAGTCAGCACACATCATCTGTCTCTTAATCTCTGTCAAGTGGTCGAACTCCTAGTCAAGGGGACAATTTGCATATTAGGCTTTTAACTATTTTATAAAAGACCTGTGACCCTAACGCTGTAACGACCAAATCGCTGCAGGTGGGGCTGCACGATTTTGTACACTCGACTTCTACTTATATAATAATTATAGGATATTTTCCTGACCTGGGAACAGAGTCAAAGTCAATTTTTTTGTTTGTTTTGTTAATCCTCATTGGAGGATACTTTTTTCCATTGATTTTTAGAGAGAGTAGAAGAGAGAGGAAGAGACAGAGATTAAAACGTCGATTGATTGTCTCCCACACAGGGCCCTGAATAGGGACAGGAATCAGGCATGCAACTGAGGTACATGACCTTGACCAGAATCAAACCTGTGACCCTTCAGTCCTTGAGCCAACGCTCTATCCATTGAACCAAACCATCTAGGTCAAAGTCAGTAATTTTGGTAGATATTGCCAAGCTCTCCTCCACAGAAGGTGTACCATTTTCCCTTCCATCCATTTTAGCATGCCCATTTCCCAGAATGTGTTGTCAGACTTTTGGATTTCTTTCAGTCTGATGGATTTTAAATGGTCCCTCTGTTCTATTATGAGCAAGGTCAAAACATCTTTTCTTATTTTTAAGGTTTTTGTTTTTCTTTTCTTGTGAGGTGTCTTTTTATGTTCTTAACCCATTTTTCAGTTGGGTTAATGATCTTCTCTATTTCTTTATATAATAGGGAGATTAACCATTTGTCTGTGATAGTAATTGCAATTTTCCCCTCCAGTTTGTCATTGGATTTTGTGATATTTTTATTCCCCCATGCACATAATTAAACATAATTAAATTGATCAATCTTATCCTTTATGGCTTTCTTGATTTTGAGTCAGAAATTTCTTTTCTACTTCAAGATTATAAAGAAATTGACTTAGCCCGGCCAGCATGGCTCAGTGGTTGAGCCTGTGAGCCAGGAGGCCATGGTTCAATTCCGGGTCAGGGCACATGCCTGGGTTTCATGTTTGATCTCCAATAGGAAGCATGTAGGAGGCAGCTGATCGATGACTGTCTCTCATAGTTAATGTTTCTATCTCTCCCTCTTCCTTTTTCTCTGAAATATATTTAAAGAAAAAAAGAAATTGACCTGTTTTATTTTTCTAGAATTTTTAGTTTTGTTTTACACATAAATCTTTTTATGATCTGTTTGGAGTTTCTCCTGGTCTGTAACATAAAAGATGGGCCCATCCAGCCATCCATGGCTACCCACTGGTCCCAATAGCAGTAATTTAAAAGCCCATGTTCATACTACTGATTCAAGATGCTACCTGTATTGTATACCAAATTTCTTTTTTTTTTTTTTTAATATATTTTATTGATTTTTTTACAGAGAGGAAGAGAGAGGGATAGAGAGTTAGAAACATTGATGAGAGAGAATCATCGATCAGCTGCCTCTTACACACCCCCCACTGGGGATGTGCCCGCAACCAAGGTACATGCCCTTGACCAGAATCGAACCCGGGACCCTTCAGTCTGCAGGCCGACGTTCTGTCCACTAAGCCAAACCGGTTTCGGCCATATACCAAATTTCTGAAGATACTTGGATTTATTCTGAACTTCTGTAATAAATTGTGCTGAGAGAGAAAAGAAAAATAGTATTGTGATGCCCAAGACCTCCTCCGGGAGGGAGAAAAAAGAGTAGTATTGCTGATACACATGTAACAAAGACACTAAGGAAAGAAACGATTTGGGTGGTGGGTGGGTTGATTTTTAAGTGTTAAGAGAGAGAACCAAAGAGAAAGACATGACATTTCTGAAGAAGTAAGTCTTAAATGTATCATTTTCTATATGCAGAACTAATGAAATAGTAATGTCGCCTCAGATTTATAAATACACCATCTGGATGTGAATGCCACATTTATAAGTGAATTGGAGCCTTCGAGAAACTTACTAAACACAAGAAAATGCTGGCAGATGGTTATTATTTGCTTTGTTTTCTCCCCTGAGGCGGAAGATAAAACCAATAGAAGCTAGAAAACCTCCCAGTCCCTTTGCCTAATGAAAGGTGTTTTCTAGAGAAAACAATCTCTGGAGTTTTGCTTTAGGAATTTCCATTTTGAATGATCTTAACTCCTCTGAGCCTCTCCAAATAGTTTTCTTTTGGAGAACAAAATTCAATTACGTTGATTTGTTTTCCACCAGCTGAGACCCCGGAGTAGACATTAGAACTCCTCCAGTGTTATCCTTCCTTTGCCTTTGGTTTGCTGGGTGCTTCCTGATCGATGTGTGTGATTCTTACCTCCAAATGGAAACTTGGTTTCTCTTCCTCCTGTAGAATGTAAGTCAGCTAGGGTAGAAGTGCTCTCTTTCATTCAGCAATCCATGTGCTAGGCAGCCTCTTTGAAGGACAAAGGAGGAAGAGCTAGAGGGATAAAGCAGAATCCTTGCTTGAGGAACTCACAACCTGGTAGGGAAGCCAGCTGCATTAGTAAATAGTGCAGTGTCATAGCAGAGGTTTGCAGAAAAGCCATGGGAGGGAAACCAACGGAGAGAGCAGCCGGCTGACCCAGGCTGCTGGAGATGGCATTAGAAAGAGGTCACATGTGAGCGTAGTAGAAGGGTGGCTGTTTCAACATGCTTTTAGTGCTCATAAAACTCAGGTCTTGGTTAAGCCCTTGGTTCCATCCTTCTGCCGTCACTCAGTGACTTTGGATCATCTGGTCTTACTGGCATTGCTAGAAAATCTAGTTCCGTTCTTACGGGTCTGGGTTGAGACAGGGATGCCTTGTATCGGCAGGAATGTATGGATTGGAAAGCTTGAGACTTGGAGGTTTGAACGGGGATGATGTGGCTGATTGTCTTTTCCTCGGTCATTTGGCTGTAGTTTGATAAGGATGGTGGGTTCATCTTGTTAAAGGTGATGAACGCTTATGCAGCATGGTGACTGTTTATTTAGTCCAGGCCATTCAAGAGCCAAAATTAAACATTAGGTTTTTATTTCTCATGTCACACAGTCTCCTTGTCTCAGTGAACACTAAGAAAACTCAGCTTCTTTAACTGTAATGTCTTCTGCCCCATGAAGAGCTTAAATTTTGTCTAAAGTTCTCATTGATAAATTCTAAATAGTAACAGGATCTAAGATATTTCTGTGAAACAACACTTGTGTTAACACCCAGAGCCCAGAGAAAATGTGGTATTCATGAGACTGAAAGGCGTGGAGCTGAGGGTGAGGGGAAGGATAAAAAATCTGTCTGCTCATCAGGACTTATGTGCAAAGATGAAAGTAGTGGAGACTTCCTCTTGAAGTCTTAACCAAGTTTAAGCTCGGGCTCCATTCATCCAGAAATGTTAAAGATTTCCATGAAAAATATCGCCTCCTTCACATTGAATCAACAAAACTATTAAGTAGTAGCCCTTAAATTTAATCTGGTTCTCCCAGTGCTTTGCAATTTGCCATCTGTTCAATCTCAGATATGATTTTATCACCTATGACATTCTAAAACAAGAGAAAGGGAAGATTAACAATGCTTTTCGTCACATTTTGAATATTGAACATAAGAACATTCTGATTTCTACTTTCTGAATCTGACATGTGTTGTTAGCACCAGCACTGTGACATTTCCCCTGCGGTATAGTTGAGTTTTAGTCACCTACTGGTCCAGAGAGCTGAAAGACTCCCCACAGGGCAAAACCCTATTTACCTTACACCAGATTCTCTTCGCTTTGTCCTGCAGGAGTTCAAAGAAGGCCGCAGAGCCAGCCACACGGCCCCGCAGGTCCTCTTCAGCCACAGGGAGCCTCCTCTGGAGCTGAAGGACACCGATGCTGCGGTGGGCGACAACATCGGCTACATCACCTTCGGTAAGCGGGCGACATCCCCGAGTCTGTGTGCCTGTGGTGCCTTCAGACTGCAGGCCGCCCGCCCTGGACAGACTTTTGTAAATGTTAGAGGGAGGGGCCAAAGTAGGCATACCATGGCTGTAAGGGGGGTCACAAGACACTGGTTACAGGTCATGTGCAGTAGTCATCTCTCCTTTTCTTGTTTTAAATCCTAAGGGGAAGGGTAGCCTCTGGTGTCAGGTATTGGGAGTAAAGCACTGCTGAGCAGCTGGTGGGAATTCTGTCATTTGGCATTTCTTGGTTTTCTTGGAATTAGGCTGAAGCTCCAACCATGATTCACTTATTCCCCTTTTTCCACTGAAGGAATTCAGTCTTCCCCTCTTACAGCTGCTTCTGCCTAGTGGTCTGGCTTGGCTCATTGCTAGAGCTGACAGTTTGGAATAACGGTGTGTACACACACTGTACCTCATGCCCTAAAATGTCCCCTTTCGTGACGTTTTCATTAATTCTCCTCAGTGCTAAATGGGGTGAGTGGATTTACCCTATTTCCTTACATCTAAGCTACACATTTTTCTTTTCATGAGGTCAGGATGTAGCTACAGTCCATAGCATATCACAGTGTAATTGGCAGCATATGTCTCTGTGTTCATGAACTGATGGTAAACTTCCAGCCGTGAGCATCTTAGGTTCTGTACAGTGTAGCTATCCTATTCTGGTGGTCACTTCTCTTCGGAGCACATTCCTTTTCATTTCAGCAAAACTTCGTATTTAGGATTTTGCTGATGGTGAAACCACTGAGTAGAGTAGGTGCGGGAGATAGGATTCAAGAAGCCACAGGGGGCAGGAAGGGTTGTGGGTGCAGAGGGCTGAGTGCCTGCATGGGTCTTCAGGCGGCCAGTGCCATGGAGCCACTTTCCTCAGCCTCCACCCAAAGCAGCCCTCCTGCCGGTCCTCAAGAGAGATCAAGTCCTTATTGATTCTGCCATAATGTTTGGTTTTCACCATGGGAATACAGGGTTTGTCTGGATCTAGTTTCTCTGAAGGTTATTCTACTTCAGCACCAAGGACATAGTACAGGCAGGCTTGGCTTCCTAATCCCGATTTCTTTCTTTTTAATTCTTTTTTTTATATTGATTTCAGAGAGGAAGGGAGAGGGAGAGATAGAAATATCAATGATGAGAGAGAATCATTGATCGGTTGCCTCCTGCACACCCCCTACTGGGGATGGAACCTGCAACTTGGGCATTTGCCTCTGGCTGGAATCAAACCTGGGACCCTTCAGTCCTCAGGCTAATGCTCTACCACTGAGCCAAACCAGCTGGGGCCTAATCCTGATTTCTTAAGGTAAAGTATTTTCTCCCAAGTTAGTAGATAGTAGTGTCACCTTTCAAAGAGATCGCTGAGCTGTGGCAGGCAAGGTTGTATTATTTTGGGAGTGTACAGCCATGGAATCCGCACCTGGGATGAATGCCAGGGCCACGCCCTTTCCTTGGGGCGCTCTGTTTTCTGCCATGATCTCCTCCTTTTTCTGAGTGTCCCCACCTGCACTGGCGGGCACCTGCCCTACCTGGTTAAGGTATTTACCCTTCCTGTATCAGGAGGAAACCGACGGCCTGGGCATGAAAGAGTGGCTGGTATTTGAGCAGGAGGTGGGAGCTGCCTGGGTCACTGGTCTTCCTGCCTTTGGCATTGGTGTTAATGCCGGCTCCGTGTTTGTCCCCAGTGCTGTTCCCGCGCCACACCAACGCCAGCGCTCGAGACAATACCATCAACCTGATCCACACGTTTCGGGACTACCTGCACTACCACATCAAGTGTTCCAAGGTGAGAGGAGCCCCGCTCTCAGCTCCATGCCCTCCTCATTCTCTCCCTAGAGCTGATAGCAAAAGTCATCCTGTAGTCCAGGCTGCTGCTAAGTAGATGGTTCCAGAGGTCAGGAAATCATGATTTTAATTCATCTCTCCCCCACCACCACTCCCTCTAGCAGAGAGATGAATCTATGTCTCCTGCTTCCCTGCAAAGCCCTGTGTCAATCCAGGGGATGTTTCCAAGCCCTCCTGATAGCTTCTAGTGAAAGCAAGGCTGTCTTTCTAGTGTGGGACTCTGCTTCAGTACTCGATGTGTTTGCCCCCAGGCCTATATTCACACACGTATGCGGGCGAAAACATCCGACTTCCTCAAGGTGCTGAACCGGGCACGCCCAGACGCCGAGAAGAAAGAAATGAAAACAATCACGTGAGTAGGGCGAGCCCACAAGACCACCTTCCTCTCCTGAGCTCACTGAGCGGGCAATAGTGGGTGCTGGTAGCCTAGCCCTTCAGGTATTGGGGCGGTAGCTATCCATAGGTGAGGCAGCAGAGTTGGGCCTCAGCTGCCAGACAGACTAAAGGTGGGGTGAACAGGTTTTCATTTCGGAATGGGTAGGGCTGTGTTTCCTTATTCCCACATGTTTGTGAGCTAGAAGAATGGCAGCTAGAACAATGGGACCTTTTTACCCAAAGGGGCTGAGTTCTCTCTGGGCCTGAGCTGAGGTCAGTGTTGTCCTTCTCAAGGTCTTCCTGGGGAAGGAGTCATTTACTTTAACAACATTTGCTTGAGTAAATGGGCCTGGAAACACACACCGGTGCTCTTTTTCCTGGTCTGCTCCTCAGCAGGCATTTTGCATGGCGAAGAGGTTGTCTTTGTCAGGGATGGAACTGGTGAGCGTGTACAGAAGAGGCCTCTTGAGCTAGAGCCTGGAGACGTAGGTCTCTGTGCAAAGCTCCGGGCCTTGGTTCCCTTGGTGGTGGAGTTTAGGCAGTCCTGTTCCTAAAATAAGCCGATAGGTGCTTATTTGCTGTCTTTTGTGACATTGAATTACAGTATTGAGGGGACCTAAGCCTCCTTCCCACGCTTCCCCCGTGCCCCTCACAGCCGGTGTATTTGCCAACACTCTCACAGATAACCTTCGGTAGGTGTGGCGTGCATAAAGCCTCAAGCTCTCTCCTCTGGCGAGTTAGTGTCTGTGCCACTTGACTGGATGAGAGGAGTAGCTGGCTCTTTTTTTTTTCCCCCCAGTTACTTTATTTTATTTTATTTCATTTCATTTGTTATTAAGGTATTATATGTGTACGTATCTTACCTCCCTGTATCTGGCTCTTAATGTGCCTGAGCAGAGGGTTTTCAGCCTCTGAAACACCAAATAGCAGTTAAAGTTAAAGTCGCCCCTGGCTTCTTCAGGCAGAGGCTTTGGAGACTTCAGTCTCGTTAGGAAATCAGTGCCAAAAGCCTTTCTCTGGGGTAGCTCTGTCCAGAGCCCGAGTGCTGTCAGCCTGTAGCTAGATCCTCTGCTTAGAGAGATGGCCAGGAACTCTGGCCACAGAATGGCAGCATGATTCCCTCTGCAGCTTCTGGCCTGTCCTAAAGTGGGGCGGCAGAAGCAGGTGTAAGTGCTGAGACACACATGCTCTTTCTGCCCTCCAGAACCCTGCCTCCATCCTGGAGTTTACAACCTCCCTTCTTTCTCTGCTCGCTTTCCCCAGGAGCGCTTTTCTCACCAGGCACCGCTTTGGTGACGCCAAGTGTGAGGCAAACCATTTTGTGCCACTTTCAGAGCTCAGGGGAGAAGGCAGTTTGGTGAACAGGCAGCTAGGGACAGCAGAAGGAAGCCTGGCCTGGCCAGCCTGTCACACACCAAACACGGGGCATCACAGGGAGTCACAGGGCTGCCTACTTGTCCACTCAGGAGATGAGCCACCAGGCAGCCACTGCCCAGTGTCTCCCCCACGCCTCCTTTGTCCTGCTCCCGGGGGTTGCTGCAAAGTGAGTGCGGTGGTCTGAGGGGCAGGATAGAACAGCTCTACTCCGATAGGGGCACTGGGAAAGGATGAGTCATTGAAATGAATAAATTGCCCATAAACCTCCTTCCTGAGACTTACAAAGAGCAGCTTTGCCTTTTTTCTGTCCCGTAACCTCTCTTTGGCAGAGCTGGGCCCCAGAAAGCAGGGGGAGGCAGATAATTGCAGCCATCCCCAAAACCAGATTATGTTACTAAGGGTGGGCAGGAGAAGCCAGAACACCCACACACACTCTTCCTGGTATAATAGAGCAGAAGGGGCCTCGGAACCATGAACAGCATGTAATAGGGTGGCAGGCCTGTTGCAAGAAATGGCCCCGGATCAGAAGCCAGCCGTTCTCACTTACAGTGCTCTGCCAGAATCAAAGGCTCCTGAGCTTTTTATTGGAGGTGGGATGGTTTCCTTTGGGGGTGGGTGAGACATTCAGGGCAGGAAAAATTTCCCATGGTTCTCAGCTCTTGCTTCCAGGCTGCTTTAGCAAACACTACTCTATCATTGAGAACTCGCCTTTCTCAGAGCTACCCTGTGGGAGAATAGTGGATAAGACACTCAGAAGCCAAGGCAGGTATTCTGTAACCAAAGGTGTAATTGAGGGTCACTTTGATCATTCCGCCTCCATGTGAAAGATTTAAAATGGATTGCCAAAAAGCTGGAAGGTATAGAAGGAGCCTGATCTCTGCCAGGAAAAGGCGTGAGCCCACTCTCAAAGACAAGTAGATCAGGGCCATCCAGAAACCGTGGACAAATGGTTCTCCTTCCTCCTGGGGACCTTGGATGTCCTCATGGACTTAGCGCAGATGTTTCCTGGTTCCTGAAAGTCCTCAGCAGAAGGAGAGAGCTGGTGGAACCTTCCATCCTCATGCTTCGTGTCTCTGGGCTCCCACCCCTAGGTCAGGAGTGTGGGGGAAGTGAGGTGAGCCTGAACGAGCCCTTACACTACTCTCTGCTTTTAAAGGGGGAAGACGTTTTCATCCCGTTAAATCTTGGGAACAGGAAGAGGACGCTGCTGGCAACTGAAGGCTGGAACACTTGCTACTGGATAATCGTAGCTTTTAATGTTGCACCTCTTCAGGTTCTCAAGGGATTCACCATTTAGGTTTCATTTTGTACAAGTTGGAAAATAATCTGCAGAAACGAGCTGTGCTTGCAAGGACTTGATAGTTCCCAAGAATTAAAAAAAAAAAAAAAAAAAAAAAAAATCCACTTGATCAACTTAATTCCTTTACTTTATCTTCCCGCCTTCACTCCCCTCCCTTCCGCCCTCCTTCCAAGCTCTTTTGCTTTGCAATATATTACTGGTAATGAGTTGCAGGATAATGCAATCTTAACTTGTTTTCTCCTGAGTATTTGAGTTCCATACTCCTGTATCTAAGGAAATACAGTTGGGGTCATTAATAAAGAAAATCTTTCTATCTTACATGAGAATCTGCTGGGTTTCTAGACTGTGAGTCCAAAAGAGAGGCGAGATGGAGGACGAGGAAGCTGCAGACCTGAACTGGAAAACCTCAGGCTCGAGAGCCCCTCGGCCTTCCCTGAGAAGGCTGGCTAGCTAGTGAGCTCTTGGCTGGCATTTCTGAGTAAAGCTGAATAAGTGCTTAACGCTCCATCACTGAATCTGGCTGTGGCCAAGAAACTCCCAGGACAGTGACAGGCACATTAAAGTGTTCTGGATTATTCTTTTATCATGAGTAATGTATAGCATTTCCCAGTGTGTTCCAGGAAGTATGTGATTCTGTAGGACATCGGAAGGTATTTAGTGGCCACGTTTTTCTTTCTCACATAACAGTCCAAGAGACTGGCACTCCAAGAAAACTCACTTTGGGAGATCCTTGTCTAGCAGATAGTACATACAGAGCCTAGCAAAGTATGCTGCCCCTTAGCAGGACTCTGATCCCTAAAAAACTTAGTTCAGAAAGTTTGTTTGGTAAAGAATTATCAGGAGAATTTTAGGAGCGCCTAAAGTGGTCTGAAGGCCATCCTAATGGTTTCTATCTCCTTTCCCTGTTTTTAGGAAATATATTTTTATTGATTTTTTAGAGAGGAAGGGAGGAGGGAGAGAAAAAAAAAAATCAACGATGAGAGAATCATTGATCAGTTGCCTGTGGGCCCCACTCTGGGAATCAAACCCACAACTGCCACATGTGCCCTGGCCTGGAATCAAACCGTGATCTCCTGGTTCATAGGTCTGACGCCCAACCGCTGGCCATGCCATCCGTGCTCCTTTCCCTTTCCATTTGTCCCCAGCTAATGCTCAAGCTGGGTTGAGACTCATGAGTCATGAAATTTCTTGACTGAATCACAAACAGCATTTTTATTTCCTGTACTATCTTTTATTTTATTTTTGTTAAGCAAAGGAGGAAATTTATTAACGTGGGGAGGGAGAGTCTCACAGAATGGACTCCCAAGTAGGGAGGGGGAAAGGTCCCCTATTTTTTTATTTAAAAAAAATAGATATTTTATTGATTTTTCACAGAGGAAGGGAGAGGGATAGATAGCCAGAAATATCGATGAGAGAGAAACATTGATAAGCTGCCTCCTTCACACCTCCCACTGGGGATGTGCCTGCAACTAAGGTACATGCCCTTGACCAGAATCAAACCCGGGACTCTTCAATCCGCAGGCCGACGCTCTATCCACTGAGCCAAACAGGTCAGGGCTCCCATACTATCTTGAGATAATTATATCTCACATACAATTGTAATTAGTAATACAGAGATCCCGTGTACCTTTCACCCCTGATAACATCTTGCATAACTAGTATCATAGCCAGGAAACTGATGTGGTTACCGTCCTGGCATCACTCAAATTGTGCCAGTTTTACATGTACTCATTTTTGTTATTTCTATGCATTTTTATCACGTGTGTAGCTTTGTCATCAGAATTTTTTTTAAAAAACAATAGTGCCGCAACCGGTTTGGCTTGGTGGATAGAGCGTCGGCCTACGAACTGAAAGGTCCCAGGTTCGATTCTGGTTAAGGGCATGTACATTTGGTTGCGGGCACATCCCCGGTAGAAAGTGTACAAGAGGCAGCTGATTGATGTTTCATTGATGTTTCTAACTCTATCCCTCTCCCTTCCTCTCTGTAAAAAACAAACAAACAAACAAAAAAAAAAAACAATAGTACAGACGAGATCAATCAGTGATCTCGTCTGTTAAAGGTAAGTACCAATTTTGAAATGTGTTTTAAGGTATATATGCATATCTTGATTGGATTGGAAAATGTTTTACTGTAGCTCATCATCAAGAAGTTTGAAAGCCATTTAGTCACCTAGACTTCATTTGACTTCATTTAAATGCGTCCTTAGCTCGGGATGCAGCCAGGGAGTTATGTGCTGGTCCCAACAAACATGCAGCTGGAGAGTCCTGTCCCCTTGCTTGTGCTGACCCTGTGGCCTCGTGGGAAGAGTATCGCACGTGAAGTCTGCCCAGCATTTTCCTGGGACAGAGCCCCTTGTCAGCTACTCTTGTCAGCTGGAAAGCCTGGCTAAATTAGATATGTTGGGTGATAGTGACATGTATGTATGTATGTATTCTATACCCGCTGGTCCTGTTGGGGACATCCAACTGCAGTGCTTTTATCACTTTCCAAAGGGAAAAGTATTGCTTGAACTGAAATAGCACCCTTAATAGCTAGTAGGGGTTTTCAAGGGTAATTGTGACTAGGAGCAGTTTTTGCTTTCCTGCTGGGTTGAGAGCACAGCTCCGTAATAAGTTGGAATTCACAAGGCATCACACCTTTTGTACAGCAGTACATCCCAAGGCAGTGTCTTAGGAAAGTCCATGCGGTAAAGACTCTCCAGACTTGCTCCTTTGTCTTCACCTGTGTCAGGACATACTTGGAATTAGTGTAGAAAGTCCCTCCCTTTATGGACAAAGGCCCACTGACTTCAGCCAAGTTCCAGTGGACTGTGGGAGGAAGGAGGTCTCAAGATGAGGGTCAGGCTTTTGAAGATAACAGGCAATTACAGTGCCTATAATTGATACACTCAAGGGGATCAGAAGTGGTAGGAATGCTAAGGAAGCAAAGTCCATCATAATCCAAGGTCCTTCCCAAGAGAGTTGGTATTTTTCTCTGCTTGGGTGCAATGGGAGATGAGGGTGTTGGTGGGACCCTCCATGCCTGGGTAAGGTGGGACCTGTGTATGCTAAGAACTAGGAGCTTGGGCCTGACCAATGTGGCTCAGTGGTTGAGTATTGACCTATATATAAGTCAGGAGGTCACAGTTGAATTCTGGGTCAGGGCACATTCCTGGATTGCAGGGTCAATCCCTATTGTAGGGTGTGCCGGAGACAACTGATCAATTATTCTCATCATTGATGTTTCTCTCTCTCCCTCTCAGAAATCAATAAAAATATACTTAAGATCTAGGAGCTTGGCAGAAAAGGCAGTAAGACTAATAGGAAGTGGAGGGATGGGATTAAGGGTCAGGAAGTTGAAACCAGGAAAAGGAAGCAGAGTTAACTGCCTCATCAGAGATGGTACTTAGCAGTTGCCATTTCAGTCCCCTTTGGTCTCATTCAAAGTTGGAATGATAGGCACTCATTCCAAAAGCTACAGAGGCCTAAGACCCAAGCCTGGGTTACTGGGGTGGGGGTGCTATTTGAGTTCAAGCAATACTTCTCCCTTGGGAAATAGATGAAAGCAGTGTCCTTTCCTTTGGCTCTAGGGAGACTAGAAAATCTGGCTGTTTAACCCTAACAGGGCCAGGGGTTCTGCTGCTGTACAGCTGACTTCAGGCTTCCTGAAGCCAGGATCCTGGCCATTTCAGTCCCACGATTGTGCCCTGAGCCTCGCAGAGACTCCTAAGACTTAGTGAAGGGTTGGACAGCAGCTCGAGGAGGATCAGTAAAATCATATCCAGAGCGTTCCCTATTAGAGTCTGGATCGGGTACCATGATGCAGACTTGCCCTAAGGAAAGGAGACCTGGGTGGGACAGGTGGTAGAGCCTGCAGAGTCAGCTGAAAGGAGCACCTCAGCTGCCTGCACTGGGGCTCCTTTGGGCAAAGGAGGAAAGTTCCACAAGTCAGTCCCAGGAATTGTGGGGGAGCAGAGAGGAACTGGATAATCCAGTAAGGAAGAAACGGCGAGGGAGCAGGGGATAGAACCCAGGCTTCCCAGTTCCCACCGCCTGAGCTGTCCCCCTTCACACGTCATCCCACACACAGTGTTTAGACAGCAGCAAGAAGAAACACAGACATCCTGGATCCCTCAGGGAGGAGGCCGCGCTGGGAACAGGAGGAGGTCTGTTTATTCCTGGCAGTCCAGTATCCGAGGGGCCCCACACCCACTTCTGTCCAGACTCCGGACGAACTCTCCCAGAGCCTCTGACTTCTCCCCGCAGATAGCGTGGGGCTGAGAACCCCGTGTCCCCCGCCCACTGGCTCCCTGGAGGATGAGTTTGAGGCTAGATGCTTTCCTCTACCCACTTTGTCCCAACGTAAGTCCTGCCTCTCCAGGACTCCCGACAGCTGTGCTTCCAGCCCTTCAATCCCGGTCTCTCCCAGAGAACCCCAGACTCCCCTGGCTTCAAGCAGTTATGCTTGTGGGCGAGTGTTTCCTAATGTCTCACCTCCAGTTTTCTTGCTGCAGTTTTAGCCTGTTTCCTCCCATTTCAGGTCTTAAGGGTGTGTAACTAGCTTCTCTCCCTCACCCCAAAGCCACACTGGATACAATGTAGAAGTGGGGGCACAGCACCTCTGGCCTTTCTAACCCTGAACTTGCCCTTCCTCTCCCTATACAGTCATGCACGTCTTAAAGACGTTAGAACCTGGCTGGTGTGGCTCAGTGGGTTAAGTGTCATCCCAGGCCCCACATGCACTGAAGGGTTGCTGGTATTCAATCCCTAGTCAGGGTATTTCTTCTCCTCCTCCTCCCTCTGAAATCAATAAAAACATACTTTTCTAAAATAAAATAAATAAATAAAAAAGGACATTTTGGTCTTTGAAGAACTGCATTTAGGATGGTGGTCCCATAAGAT